CGTGTATCCAAAACATTACTGTCTTAAGTGAACTACTATCTTGGTCATTTTGTTTTAGTAATCGAGTTTGTGTCCATATGTTTAAAACTAAACAATCCTCATTGAAATTTAAGCCAGCAAAAAAGTCGCTGTTTTGTGATCAACTATTAGCACTTAAATGGGTAAATATTTTTGTAAATATTAAATAATTTAACTTTATAAAAAACGGATTTTAATATTATAGTATATTTTAATAATGTATAAAGATTGCTTAAATTAAAAAATTATAAATCGTATCAGAATAATATTTCTTATATTAGGTTATGTTTACAGTTTGCAGTGCAAAATAAATGTTTTTTTGAATGATAGCCACCATATATTGTTTAATGTATTAGCTATAGTTTATTGTCATATATTTGTATTGGGACTTACAATTACAGTATGATACCATATCAGACAAATACTTGTTTAAAAGTATATTTTGTAACATTATTACTTGTATAATTTCAAACTCAAATTGAAATGATTGGGTTTAGAAACACCTGGATTAATAGACTAGGATTTCTACAACTTAAACTATACTAATTCTCCTTAAACTAGGATTGCTATTGAATGTGGCAAATATTGCAATACCATTGCACTTAAACGGAATATTTTTTGTATAAATATTGAGAGCAAACAAGAATATATTTATTATTAAAATTGTTAGTTTTTACATAACTAACAATTAATATACTTATTATGTATATCCGGGCTATAATTTTATGCATAGCTATACAGACTGTGCTCTGTTTTAACGACGGAAAACGTACGGCAAGTACCGGTGCTTCCGATGCCCGCTATGGCACCGTTCGGACCAATGAAATAAGTGATCCGGTAATTAGTATTACGATTATATTTATTGCCATAGTTTAAACAGATTTGATTTAAATTTATTAAATTAATTCCTAAACTTTTAAATTATATTGAAATATTAGTAATTTTCATAAACTATATTATCTATTTAACAAAAATATACAATTTATATATTTTTTATTTAATTACATTATCATAATTCTCAATTTGTTTTAATTAAAAAATTACTTTCAATTATCTAAATTTTGATAATTAAGAGTCATATAAAGTTAAAAGACTCACCAGTAAATGAAGTCATGTAAAATACAATTAATGAAAAATTTATAAATTATATATTATAGTGTATATAGGTATTATAGCTAATAATACTACTATTTTAATATAATTGCATAATTTGGGATTTAATTTAATAAACTGTAAAATATATTTAAAAATAATACAAATAATACAAATATGTCCAAATGTTTAGTAACAACCTTGTACAATATTATATCATTGTTAAATAACTATTTTCAAATATACGTATTAAATATTCTCAATAACTAATTACCTTGCTCATAGGGCGCACACATATTATACCGATTGAACGAAGCACGGGAGGCCACCCCCGACCACATTGGCTACTATAACATGGCTGAGACCGAGGCAACAGAAAGCATCAAGCAAGTGATCGCTATATTCAATGAGGTGACCGCCAATTTCGAGTCCCAGGAATGCCTGTCTTTC